GGTGGGTGTGGCAGGATGCTGGGAGGCAGAGAGATAAGGAAGGAGGAACGGAGACAGAGAATGGGGAGGTAGGAGGGTCCCAGGGAGCAGGACATCCTGGATGCCAGTGAGGAAAATGTCCCAAGGAAGACAGAGAGGCGGGGAGCTCGGGGATCTGACCCCTGGGGTTAGCACCCTGTCATGACTTGGTGTGAGGTGGTGGGAGCCGGATGCCAGTGGGTAGTGGAGTTACCAGAGACCCTGAGTTTGGAAAATCCTTTCAGAGTTGTGTCTGCACCTGGTGAACTTGGGGGTGGGGGGACAATGAAATTTTTATTTTCACTGAGTAGATAGAGCATCCACATAAGCTGGTGGGAAGCACAGGAGGGGAAGGAGTGCTGGTGTGAGCAGGGAAGCTAAGTGAAACCCAGTTCTGTGTTCCGAGCTAGGACCCTGTCCTTCACAGATTCCAGGCCTTGCCCCTGCACCCCGGGATCCGCACACTTAACCAGCTCCTAGCTCCCCCAGGGGTTCTGAAGGACTTGCTCCCAGAGACTCAGAGGCTAGGTCCTTTCCTTGTTCTTTTCTACACTTTTATAAACCACCTGTTTAATCCTCCACTCTGTACCCTGCATGGGAATTGATATCCCACCTGGGAATTGGTGATTTCTAGAATGAACTCTCCCCCTGTTCTGGAGGTGAAGCTAACACTTGCCCAACTTTTATTTTCTATGTCTTTATCGTTAATAGTTCACAACTTTTGATTTGCACGTGCTTTTCACAAATATTCTCCCTTCAAAAATGACATGAATAACAGATGTTTCGGGACGGAGGACATTCTAAGAAAGTGACCTCAGTGCAGGGAGGAGGGGACAGCTGTGAGGTGCCCCCCCCCCCCGCCCACTTTCATCACTCTCTGCAGCCACCAGCCTCTCACGACCACTGCTGGGTACCTGCCCATGAAGCTCTGTGATCCGTCAGAAGTTCAAAAACAATTCAGCAGGCACTTAAAAAATTCATTGTCACAAATTATCTTGTCACATATTGATGTCATTTAAACAATTTATTTCTCTAGCTTTTATCTCTCTCATTAGAACATTTTTGAAATCCTCTTGCTTGTGAAGCAAGGTACCACTTTCTCCCCACCAAATTTCTCAAGTTATTAAAAAAAAAAAATAACCCATTCACAGGAATCACACTAGAAACCAAATGTTTAATGCCATATGTAGAGCATGTAGGGACAGAGTTTATTTTCTGAAAGGAATAACATTAAAATCCACAGAGTTCTACATAAAATGGCCTGCCTGATAACAAAGAAAAGGCATTTATTTCAAAATGACACATGGGTGATATTATAATTCTAGTTGCCCTTTAGGGCAGTGATCATCCAGAAAATAGGACGTTCCATCCGGAAACAAGAGCAGACATGCCTGGACATGTTCCCCTCCCTGCCTGCATCTATGCACACGGGCCCCTGTGGTCAGCACGGGATCAACCTCCCCTCCCCTCCCCTCCCCATCCCTCCCCTCCCTTGCCCTCCCCTCTTTCTTTCTTTTAAGTTCTGGGGAAAGAGAAAAGCAAAGTATCCTCAGGCGAATTCAAGCCAAAATGTCACTACAAATGCAAAACTCTGAAATCTAAAATGTGACACTCTTGGTTCCTTAGGGATAACTGAGAGTCTTTGCTCTTAAAGACCTTGGTGATTTCACGTGGGAAATGAACCGCATTGCAATGTGATCAGGGAAGAGAGTTCTGAGGTTTCTGATGCCATTCTCGGGGGTGAAACTAGCTATGTGCTTTGGGTACGTTTGCTCTAAATTCTTGGACAGCAAGAATACACAACACTTGAAATGTTCTGAGAGATTTGTTTGTAAGCCTTTGATTTGAAATGTTAAGAAGGTAAACTTCTGAAATGGAAGGGGGCGCGGTGGACAGGGAGGAGAAGTCAGCTTCACCGGCTGGCGCTCCAGGAGCGGGGACGTGGTGGGAATGTCCAGGGACTGGGCACAGCGGGCTCCCACTGTAAGAATGCCACCTGACGGCGTCCCAGCGGGTTGAGTGACCTCACTTACCGCCACTGTGGGCCTCTGGCTCTCCACAAAGAGCAGCTGAAGAGGAGGAATGATCTGGAATCGTCATGAAACACACATGTGCTGTGAAGTGTGATTGGAGGCCAAGCCAAGAGTGCACGCCCCCGTTGTCCCCGGGCTCCTTGGCCATCTGAGTGGACACTGTCCCTCTTCCACTCTGCGCCCATGACAGTGTTGAATTTGACTCTCTATTCAGCACTGTGACTGTTGATGTGTCCCTTACCAAAATGAAGTCACAGAAAGACGGGATTCAGGAAATTATGACCTTGTTCGTAATGCAGGTGCGAATTACCGCGGCTGCGTGATGGAAGTTCATTCAGGAGGGAAATCGGAATTCTGGGGGACTCCCAGCGGGCTACGCCGTAGGGAGAGGGTGGTCAGTGGGCCCACTGCTGGAAAGTGCTTCATTAACAGGAAAGGGGCACTTTGTTCTCACTTAAGTGACCAATCATCTTCCATCTCTTTCTTCAGTTGACAAGTCAACAGCAGGGAAGGATAGCATCTATGTGTCTATGGGGACTTGGAGAAGTGTTTTGAACTTCGGCTTTGGCCTTGTTTTCTGAGTGGGAAATCAAAGTCTGCTGCAGGCCCACAGAGTGCAGTCTTTGTGGGAAACCAGGCACCACGGTGAAGCTGAGGGTCCCACGGTCGCTTTCCCTTCCTGTGCTAAATGGAGACGTTCCTTCCAGAAGCTGCTCGGTCTCCTGAGCCTACAGGGTCTGCAGGTCCAGGAGGCTTGAGGCCGAAAGCGGGAATGTCTTCAACTGTGACCTCCACCCCAGACTACAGTCTAAATATAATCCCCAATTGGGTGACCTTTGCCCCCGAGCCTTACTTATTTATTCAAGAAGTGATCACAAATCAATGACATTCTAATTGGTTTCCTAACTGAGCTCCTAGGAACCTTAGGAACTGATCAAAAAGAATCCATTTTGGCTATTTTCATTTGTTTCTGTTCACAATTAGAAAAACCACTGTTTCTAAAAAATGGCAAATAATCCTCAAAGATGTAGAAATTGGAGCGTTCTCTTAACCATGGGAAGAGAAAAAGCAAAACATTCCTGCACAGGCTGCTGACCTGCAGTGAGGTTTTGCGGCGCGTACGACCTTGGTCTACTTTAAAGGTGTCCAAAACTGGTTACGCAGAGATAAAATATAACAATTCGTAACTTTTGAGAAACCGAAATCTCCGTACATTTTAGAGAGACCCCTGTCATGTAAATTACTGCTATTAAGATTTCACTTGAAAAGAGCTGCTCTTCGACTAACTCCAGGGAGAAGGGGTGGTGTCCCTGAGCCCCGGGAGTGGAAACCCATCTCTAACACTTGTAGCTCTGGGCCTGACTCGGACTGAATCTCTACTTCAAAACAATTTCTTAAGGAATGAAAGAAACAATGAGAAGTCCTGAGTGCCCAGAACACAATGTGCTTGTGATTACTGGGCGCTATTTTTAGATGAGCTTTTCAGCCAGCCCATTCTGCTGTTTTTCAACACCTCGCCCGATGCCAAGATGGTAGAGCAGGGGTGAGTGCTCGGATGGAGGGGCTGGAAGGGGAGTCCCAGAGAAGCACAGCGAGGCACTGAGCAACAGTGAGCCTCTACTGTCAGGAAAAACGCCTCTTTCCCAGCTTCCCAACTTCAGATTGCTGGCAATGGGTGAATTCACCCTGTTGTAAGTGAAGTGATGCATCTGTGGGGACAGGAAATTCTCTGACGAAAAATCGTAGTGATTTCTGTCCATGTCAATTTAAAGAACAAGGACTTTTTTTTTTTTTTCCTACTGGGAAATCTTGCTTCTGGACTGGCAGAAAAAATCTTGTCTGACTGCTTCTTCTGACCGTTAGTCTCTGGGAGACCAACGGAATGCACTTTGCATTAGCTCTGGCAAAGGTATCCTTCAGGAAGGAGGAGGAGGACACACATCTGCGTTTCACAAACCACGGCCACGTAGGGAGCCTGTCAACGGCCCTTTTCAGCACAGCCCCGCTGACATTGAGACAGATCTCAGAGGTTCATTCTGCCGCACGGGTCCCATAATCATCCCTATTCCAACTTTTGCCCAAACTGTTGGACACAGAATGGATTTTGTGGAGAGCTCCTGACGAGTCCTTGAGATGAGACCAAATGACAAATATCCATGTGGAAAAGAAGCAAGCGAGAGCTCCCCGGCCTGCTTCCTGAGATAGGCACAGAGAAGGATGATGGCATAAAGCTCTGTGATGTCCCACGTGTCACAGTACCACCCCCCGCCCCGGGGAGGGTACCCTTCGTCACCAGGAAATAGAGACAGCCTGTCCCCAGAGACAGGAGCCTTTGCTACTTTTTCCCAGTTTACTGCCCCAGCCCAAATCCTCTTATAATTCCTAATTAACTGAAGCTCCCAAAGTCAAGCTTTCCTTGTCTTGCCCATCCCTGACAGATTTGTTGTTGTCCCTTTGTCTATAAAGAGTAAAAACTGGGGGCGCCTGGGTGGCTCAGTCGGTGAAGCGTCTGCCTTCGGCTCAGGTCATGATCCTGGAGTCCCGGGATCGAGCCCCGCATCGGGCTCCCTGCTCAGCGGGGAGTCTGCTTCTCCCATCACCCTGTCTGTGCTCTCTCTCTCTCTCAAATAAATAAAATCTAAAAAAAAAAGAATAAAAACTGCCTGCTCTGGTCATTTCTCTAGGTCTCAGCTTCGTTACTGGGCCTCTGTGCACATGGAATAATACTTTGATTTTTTTTCTCCTATTAATCAGTCTCATGTAAATTCAATCCTCAGTCCGGCTGGAAGACCTTGAGGGTCGAGAAGAGATTTTCCCTGCCTTCACTACGGTCCTCAAAATCCATAACACGACCCAGCGTGTCGTAACTTCAGTGTAGGACGGGAGTGTGGTGAATCCAGAGGAGCCTGCTGATGGGTGTATTCACCATGTACCACCGCTCTCTTGCAGGAGGAAGGCACCGTCAAGGAAATCGACATCAGCCACCATGTAAAGGAAGGCTTTGAGAAGGCCGACCCTTCCCAGTTTGAACTCTTGAAAGTTCTAGGACAAGGATCCTACGGAAAGGTAAGTTGGAGCTTTGATTCCCTCTGAGTGAGTCTCACACACTGTGGCAGGTCCCCCATGCCAAGGCGGAGAGCACTTGAATGTCGGGGGATGTGAGCAATGGCTGGGTTGGCTCGTGAACATGGGAGCCGTGGCCCTGAGGCCGAGGGAGTGAGACTCACGGGCAGCCCCCGTTTGCGGGGTCCCGTATTCACTGCCACCCACACGCACTTTGCACGGTTACGATTCTGTCACACGCAGCTGTGCGAACCACAATGGCGTGGGCCCGTGAGAATACCCCACACCGTGGCCTTCAGAGTTCCCTAGGCCTCTACCCAACATGACCGTGAGGACGGTTCTTGACCTTGAGCCAATGCCTCTCCAAAAGCGCAGACTCAACAAGAAGGAAGAAAGCAGCGCCCTTCGCGGCCAGCATGCGACTGGCACTCGGGAGTCAGAAGGCTGGGCCTCGCCACCGGCCTCCTCTCCTCAGCTGTGCATTTCTCTCTCTCTGAGCCTCAGTTTCCCTCTCTACACAATGGGGATGGCATAAACCTTGTGGTTATTCTATGACTGAAGAAGACTGGATCCCACCCAGCCGTTGTCTCAGCTGTATCTACGCACAGAATCGTGCCCTTTCTGCGTCACCGTCAAGGTGTGGTGCAGGCTGATCCCTCCCAGGATGAGAAGTGCTCGGCCCTTCTCTCGGGCCACATCCCAGTCCGGCAGGATGCCAAGGGATCCTCAGTTACGACAACGTGGGAGTTCTTCCATTGCAGTGCTGGTTCCTCCACGTCCCCGTGTAACAGTGAGAAATCCATAGACTCTGAGGGCGTGATTTCTGGAACATCGGGGCCTGAGAAGAGCAGTACAGTCCTTCCCTGGGGCACAAGCAGAACGGCGGCCTGGACCTGTAAAAGAGTCGTTTTGTGTGGAACGTGGACATTCACCAAATCTCTCCGTTCTTCAGAGGACTTTGTGCCGAGATGAAATCTAGCGTCTGTTGATTTAATGCACAACTAATAATGCATTAATGATGTTCTGGAAAGTCTCTTACACACCATGAAAATTTGATGGCTTGCAAAACTTATCTTTTGGCCTGCGTATACAGTAGTCTTTCTGTTTTGTTTTCCACTTTTGTACGGCCACATGGGAAGGAGGTGTATACACTGATATATATACAAACACACTCGTTTGGAACCACACCAAATTTCCAATATTCACAATTTCATGTCCTACAGAAATGGCTTTTTAATGTGGATCATAAGGTATTTTTGGAAGCAGGGAATGAAGACTTCAGTGTCTCACAGTGTAAGGAGTGTTACTAAAAGCATAAGGCAGAGCCTATTTATGTGGTAATGGAATAGCGGCTGTTAATTAGAAATGTCAGAAAAAAAGAGAAGGCATCATTCTTTGTCTAAGAACTAGGATTTCGGAATAGAGACAAGCAAATTCACAGACACTCCCCACGTGTTGTTTCCAGAGCACATTCTCCGCCGAGTGGTCTTCGTCTGCAGTGAGGGCCCAGGCGTGGGTCCCTCCGACCTCATTGCGGGCGCCGCCCTCCACCCCTGTCTCCAGGTCCTTGGGAACAGACCCGTGGAACAACGTTTCTGAGCCCGACTAAGACACGCGTCTGGGGCTCTAGGGGTCTGTCCAGAAACTCGACTGGACAGAACTTGCCCTGGAAGGTGCCCTCCTCCAAGACCTAGGGTTCCACATGAAAGGAGAAAAGGCTTTGTCAATTCCCTCCACATTTCAAATTTTGAAATTTAATTTTGCTTTAAAAGACCATTCTTGGGAAAACAAGTGAAATAACAACTGGTGTTTGGCGGACTGGTTGGCACGGTCCCAGCCTACCACACACCTGCTCTTCGCACGCACACCGAAGCCGGCGTGCTTACGGCCCCGCAGGGAACCAGAGCACCGGAAGTACCAGCAAGAGGCAGTAACCACGCGTGCAGGGGTTCTAACCTCCCCTCACTGCTTGACTCAGGCTGAGTGTGGAGCCAGGGCCACTGGGCAGTGCCACCCTGGCCCCGGAGCTGAAGACCAGGACTCCCGGTGGATGGGGGTTGCCCAACACACGGAACAGGGCTCTGGAAACCTCTCGGAAGTGCCCTGCGATATGTGGAGCCAACATCAGGTGCTAGAGAGCTACAGATACAAATTATATTTGTCCACGGGAGGCTTCTGTTGGGAATTTTTTATAAAAGCAAAACTAATGACGAGGGGGAAAGCGCATGTTCTAAGACTGCGTAGTATTTTATTCTTCATCCGTGACTAAAAACTGTATGCCCTTACGCAGGAGTTATCTTGCTTTTGCTCTCTAGAAAAAAAAAGGCAAGACTAAATGTTTGCATCCTGCAGAAAGCTCCTGTTAGAGAGATTTCACTTCTTGCCTCTTCACCCAAGAGCAAAGAGAGTGAATCTGGACTCTAGCATTCCCGGGTTGTATTCACCTGTTGCTGGGCTCTTCCGTTCACCTCTCCCTGGGCCCCTCTGTTCACCTGTCACTGGGCCCCTCCATTCACCTGTCACTGGGCCCCTCCCCTCCGTTCACCTGTCACTGGGCCCCTCGGTTCACCTGTCACTGGGCCCCTCTGTTCACCTGTCACTGGACCCCTCCGTTCACCTGTCACTGGACCCCTCCATTCACCTGTCACTGGGCCCCTCTGTTCACCTGTCCCTGGGCCTCTCTGCTCACCTGTCCCTGAGCCTCTCTGCTGACCTGTCACTGGGCCCCTCCATTCACCTATCACTGGGCCCCTCC